GACGAAGAAGAAGACGACGAAGAAGAAGACGACGAAGAAGAAGAAGATGAAGAAGAAGAAGAAGACGAAGAAGAAGACGAAGAAGACGAAGAAGAAGAAGAAGAAGAAGAAGAAGAAGAAGAAGAAGAAGAAGAAGAAGGAGGAGGAGGAGGAGGAGGAGGAGGAGGAGAAGGAATGACTCATCAAGCCTTTAGCAGTCTTCTTCCTCGGAGAAGGACTCATCAATGAAGGCCTCAATGTTTCAGGAGGAGGAGGAGGAGGAGGAATGACTCGTCAAGCCTTCAGCAGTCTTCTTCCTCAGAGAAGGACTCATCAATGAAGGCCTGAATGTACGCATACAAGGAGTCCGCTGCAGCCGGACCAGTCTCAGGCTCAGAAGCTGATTCATCTTTAGAAGAAGAAGAAGAAGAAGAAGAAGAAGAAGAAGAAGAAGAAGAAGAAGATGAATTCAGTTCAGCAGAGGTGGCCTGCACACTATGAAGTCTAAGGAAGACTCTGCAGGTTCTGACCAGGGAGGTATGACTTCCTCAGTTGCCCAAGATGCAGAAGTCGCCCCAGACCAAAGACTGCGTAGACTCTAGACCAGGCACTGCTGAACCTCACAAAGGACTCTAATCAGTTCAGTTCCAGGTTCAAAGGCAAAGGCCTTCTAATGCTAGCGGCTCTGGCAAACGCCCCAACAGACCTCAGAAGCAAAATTTGCCAAAGCTTGCCAAAGGCTCAGGTAACCAACGCTATCGACCTAAACCCTTGTTCCTCCTTCCCGTAGAGGGATCTGATCTGCACATCCCTGAAGGCGGGGGGTTGTCTGCCAAGGTTGTGCAGAGAAACACTTCGTCAAAAGTGTGTCCCACTTGGGCCAATCACAATTCAAAAAACTAGAGAGGCCAGCTGTAAGGTGATCAAACTCTAGCCTCTAAACTAGAAAGGCCAGCTGAAGGCAAAGGGAGAAGAGCTGATCATACTCTAGCCTCCAAACTAGAAAGGCCAAGGCCAGTTGAAGATGAAAGGGAGCAGAGCTGATCATACTCGAGCCTCTAAACTAGAAAGGCCAGCTGAAGATGAAGGGAGCATGGCTGATCATAGTCTAGCCTCTAAACTAGAAAGGCCAAGGCCAGTTGAAGATGAAAGGGAGCAGAGCTGATCATACTCTCACATCTAGATGTGTATAAGAGACAGGAGCTGATCATACTCTACTAACTCTAGCCTCTAAACTAGAAAGGGCCAGCTGACGGTGAAGGGAGCAGAGCTGATCATGCTCTAGCCTCTAATCAATAGGACCAGGATAAAAGGCCTCGTTGGACTGTGGAGCCACTTGGGAACTTCACATCTTCATATCCCCCCACATGCAGTGCAGAAACTAGGAAACTCCATCTAGGACTCGCGGTCTCCGAACTTGAGCATCCATTGCGCATCCAGGTGGGTACTTCCCAATCTCTTACAGTCCGGCAGGTCCTCAAAGTGTACCAGTCACCTTCGCTGCCAAAGGGGAAGTCAGACTCTGTCTGCACTTCTATGTGCTTCCACACTTATTACCCTTTGACATGGTCCTGAGCCTTAAATGGTTGAGGGCTACTAATCCCACTATCCACTGGACTACCCCTGCTACTCAGTTGAAGAATGTTGTTTCAATCCGTCACTTCACATCCCGGTTCCCGGCTTTTATAAAGACATTGTTCCGTTAAAATAAAAAAACATAAAAAAAAACAAAAAATAAAATAAAAAAACATATACCTGACAATCAGTCCTCCTTAACAAAGACTAATGAATGTTGTTCGACGGAAATAATTGAAAGGAAAGGTCGGAGTCAATTCCAAAGTTGATATGGTATTATATCTGACTTGTCGGTGGAAAAGGAACTGGACGACGACGACTGCTGAAAATAGAAAGAAGCCAGGACCATAAGTCCCAGATTTAATATATAAATTAATGCTAGAACAAATTGGGATAATTTGTAAGATGCCGCTAAAAGATGCCGTGCTTCAGCAGATGACCCTTAAATATTCCGTATTCGCCAACTGCCCTCTTGACCGCCGTCAAATTTTCCACACATCGACCACATGCATCGGACCCGGCATCTCTCCCGTATATACCCCTCTTGGGCCCCGGTTCAAGATTTTGACGACCCGACCCAGGTTGCAGAGTCCAACATCGCTGACACGGGCACGCCACAAGCAAGAAGGGTGTTTGGGAAATACCCAGAATTTGAGGGGTATCCAATGAAATACCACATCTTTCGGGGGCATCTGACAAATAGTCCCCAGTTTCTTTTTTCTTTTTAAAGAAGGTTGATAATACCGACCGATGTGTGGAAACAGCTGGCTGCAAAACAATGGGAATATTATACACGCACGAGTCAGCGAAACTCCGACAAACAGTCTGTCACAGCCCCCCGTTGGTTGGAACGTATCTTAGTTTCAGTCTATGGTTCACTGGGCTCTTCTCTGTGACTGTATATATTGTATTGTATAAGATTTATATGAAATTATATCATATATCATATATCGTCATAGATCATATACAGATATTCATATCATATACATATAGCAACCTTACAGGGTCATCGTGCGTAGCACATTGCGGCACAACAGGCGATCACAAAACAGATGTGTGAAAAGGTCTGGTTGGATACACACGCTGTGACACGCATGCACTAGCCAACCAAACCACAAAATTCCTTCTTCGCTACTGCCGCAATTCAGCGCATGTAGCCGAGTTCTACTTCCCCCCGCACGTCCCTGGAATTGTGCCCCCACACACGAATGTCTTCACCGTACGTCCCCAAATGGAGTTCCCTTTGGCAAGCAGACGAACAGATGAAAGCAGATGAAAGAACTGTACACACGTAGCCATTGATACACAAATCACGAGTTCAAATCCCAACGGACAGAGCAGCACACGCAAGCCTGTTGCAAAGAGCGACAGCTTCCGTTACGCAGTACACGACAGCTCATGAAACCATGATGGAGGGATGGAGGGAGGGAGGCAGGCAGGGAGGGTAGAAATGAGGAGCAAGAGGTAAGCATGGGCATATGGACGGATGCAATGTATGGAGCGGTGGTGAATGCATGAGAGCACTCTATGAGAGAGACAGCAGTGTTGAATACAGTGCTCGGTGGGAAGTTCTGTCAAAGTGAGTGTGGAATTGTAGGGACTTATTTCACACCCCTTGATCATCATTATCACACAAACGAACGTACACAAATTACTTATATTCTCTACATTAATGCCTTCAAGGCCCCGAGGCATTAACAAGCAAGGCATTAACAAGCAAGCAAACCACCCTCCCCCGTCTCCTCCCAACCCCCCGGCGCCCCCCTCCCCACTGTTCCCTCAAACTCTCAATGGCTACGCCTAAGCACCGAACTACCTTCTCCACTCGCTTGTCACAGACCAGTTGATCCAAAAAACACACAGGTGCCCGTCCCCAGCCCCTTCTCCCCTCCCCACCCTCTCCAGCACCACCTGTACTGCTTCCCCCCCCCCCCCCCCTCCTCGTTTGCAGGGCTTCCCTTTTAGCCCTGCTGCACAGTCAGACCATGATAGTATGACGATACAGAGGATGAACTCTCTGTGGCAGCTAAGCCACCTATCGATGAATACTCGATGAATACTCCTTGTGGCAATCACGCCACCTAAATGCAAATATGTCTCCACTTTTCTGATTTTTAAACCATTTTTTGGCAATCTTTTCTTCTCACACCGACGACAGGTTGCTCAACACTGCCCCGGTCCCGACAATAAATCTTGCCGCCGCAGTCTGTCTTTGTCGGCGGGATCAAGATGGGGTAGCAAACGCCCATCGACTATGCGAAGTAACAGCACACAGGCACCGCTCTCTTGCCGACTCGGCAGAGCCGGCAGAGGAGACAACGCAGCTCAAAACACTCATCCTGACTCAGCATAACACACTGCCACAAAGTACAGCACAGTGCCCTTACCCTCTACCGGACTCGATGCGGGAGAGATCAGCTGCACACTGCCACAAACCCAGCATATGACAGTCTGACAACTCAGCAGAGTACACGATGCTGCTGGTGGCGAAGTACCACACAGTCGCGTAATGCTATACCTCACTCAGCTACCACCACATACGGCTCGGCACAGTCGTGCCCACAACCCAACAGAGCAGAGAATACCGCACCGCTGTCTGTAGCCTGGCAGCTCTAAATCGGCACACTTCAAACCACGCAGTCGAGTGTGTTACACTGCGGGCAACGTCGCGGAGCGTGACCACGGCACGGTCACACAGCCGCAGCGTGTGATCCAGTGTAGACAGGCGCACTGCATCATCCAGTAGTGTTGACGGGAAAGTCCTTAGGTCATGTCACGTCTGCCGAAGACCGGCACAATGACCTGAAAGTACTCTGATCAATTCTCTCTAGGGCAGTTCAGTTTCGATAGGGGGGAACTCGTACACTAGGCCGTAGTTCGAACCCGCGGCGAACAAAGTAGCTTTTCCCATATGGTGAATGGGAAAGATTGCCATCCAAACCGCTAACTACCTTAAACATGCTTAACCGTACATCCGTGTCCGTGTTATATCCACATCGCCTGTATACATATTAGGCACACATACATTATGTAAGTCATATTGACAGCAAAACCATAAAGATGAGGATAGCAACAATCACGATATCATAGAAAAAACACTTGAACGGATCACGAGGCCATCCACTATTCGTCGAGGGGAAGCAGTCACTTCCCATCCTCACACCTCTGCACCACTCACTAGTCAGCAGGGTCAGCAAGCTAGTATCCAGTCTGCTGAGCTATAGCACACATCCCTCTCCTTTTCGCGCTGAACGGCGGGTCTTCTTCTAATACATTGCGCTATACGCAACCTGAGCCCACGAAGAGCAAAACTAGGTAACCTAGAGTGAAGTGCAGAGGTGCGTAAGGTCAGATTATAAACAGTGCAAGCTGACTACAAAGCAACAATTAATGGTTGAAGGCGAAGAGGCCGAACCGAATGCCCACCGTCATCATATCACCAGGGAACCACCTACATCAAGGAAGGGAAGGAGGGGGGCAGAAAAAAGAAAGAAATGGACGCAAACAAGAGCACAGAACCGCGACGAAGAACACACCAGCATGTAACAGAAAGAAAATCAAATGCTTTTGCATTCAGCTGACGGAGAAGGAAGCACAAGGAGAGGGTTGCAGATGGAGGCATATAGAGGATGTCTCGATCTGTCGATCACATCCTATACACATCACTGATGTGCCAAACGGCAGGCTGCGTAATTCTTCCTGGAAGGAATAATGATCCCTGACCATTAGCTGTGATATACAAGAGAGCGAAATGATTGCCTAGTTGCGATAAAACCCCCCGTCTGGGGCCGGTCATGTGATGACCAGCAGCCCAGAACTAACGACTATGGTGCGGTCTGGCAACTGGTGAACACGCACATCCTTCCTATTCTACGTCTTGCAACAACGCGCACACACACTAAACCTATGCTGCTGCAACTGCAGCTCCATTCGCTCTAAACGCCACACTCCAGCATCTCAGCACTGCAGCACAGCACTACAGTGAAGGCTCTGCAAATCGGTCTCTGCATTGCCGTCACTCCAGTGCTGTAGCTACGGAGAAGCATAGCTGCAGTGCCGTCGCTGCAGTTCCCGAATGGCATAATGATTACTGGCAAAGCGGGGGGGAACAGAGTCCGCCCCGCGAGACATACCGAGAGTGGAGGGGACCCAGATTTGGAACTATGACGATCAAGGGGACCGAGAAGCTCAAGCCCTTCGACACAACCTGTTCGCCCCTACCCTATCTATGCAGGGGTGGTAATCGACATCCTCCCATTCCCCTGACTACCCTCCCTGGAAACCGCCCGCCCATGATGTGTCAGAACTTCTCAGAAGGGCATTCTGCACCAAGTGCCACCAACCAAATTTCATGAAATGGATGACGAGCCGATAAAAAAAAAAAAAAAAAGAAAAAGAAAACAAGAGACTCAGCTCCATACCAAATCGGCGCCATACCATGTCGTTTGCTCCTCCACCCTCTTGTCCATCTTGGCGGGGAAATCCCTTTTCCTCGGCATCTGCCTTGTCGTCCTGCATCTTGCTGCCAACCACAGCTCACAAAACTTCTGCAGCAAAAAAATACGACCATGAGTTGCGTGTCGCCGACGCTCAGGACCAGATCTTCTGAGAGGTTCACGCTAGTTGTCTACTGTTCCTGATCAACATACAATCTCTCCTCTCTATCAGCCCCCAGTTTCATTGGTCTTCTTTACCTTGCCTCCCCCGCTTTCTACATCCCGAACTCGCCTTGCATGCCTGGCTGGCCTTGCCAAAGCACGTTCGTGCTCTCAACGAACCCAACAAACCTGAAAGCCAAATAAGCTTAACCGAACGACCCGGAAACCTACCAACCAATCGATCGACTCAGAGGACACCTACCTGCTCTTTTCATTCTTCATAAGACTCCTGAGTCCCAATAACTCCAGCATAATTGAAGGAGGAAACAACAGTAAAAGACAGACATTGCCTCTCACTTTGTTGCAGCTAGGATTAGCATAAACATAAACCTTAATGATACTTATTACAAACAAGGGGACCATTTCGGGGGGGGGGAAGGGCGGGGGGAGGACCAACATGGCTCCCCACTGTAAAGAGGGTACATTGGCTTGCCCGTCACACATGCGTGGCGGCTGCCTTTTCCCCCTCCCCTCCCTCTGCCCCCCATCCTCCACCCGCTGTGAAACCAATAACCCTAGCATTTCCTGATTGACCCCACTGTACCACCACGCCTCGAACCACCCCGCTTTCCCAGTTACCTGGCGACCCCTCACCGAACGGGACATCCTTTAAACAGCGTCATCAAAAGAATAGCCCCTTCGACTTCATCGGAGGGTCCCCTACCTCCAAGTTTTGTTCGCACCCCTGTATCTTCAGCGATCTCTGGCCCCTCAAGACTGCTCTTCCGTTTCCGGGCCCAGTCCTTATGAGACATCCTTTCTCCAGCCCTGGCCCTTCTGCCACCCCACCCAATAGGTGGTTCCACACAATGTGTGTCAGGGCGGCCCTGTCCCGACGATACTCTTGGGAACAGTCCCATCACTGCAGTTGACGATGGACTGGTCTTCATGTACGCAGCCGCCGCGGCTGCATTGCATCCTGCCCCCTTCATCAGCTGGCTCACCATGGAGGGAGGGGAGCCCTGCAGAGTTACACAGCTATCAGCACTGCTTCTCGTGTGATCGCCCTCTCCGGCTTCGCTGCAACTCGATGACCGACACCTCTCATCCCCTGCCATTGCCCTGCTTGCATCTCTTTCGGGGTCAACAACCACCGTTCGACCTTTCTTCATTACCCTTGCCGACATGCCCATCCACATCTTGTTCTTCAAAGGGAAGTGATCTGATTGGGACTGAGGGGAGGACGATGGGCAGCATCCCTCCACAGGTGCTGTGCTGTCCGTTGCAACAGAAGCACACACCTCCACACTCCCAGACACATGATGCTCAACAGGCAACTCCACAGTATTCACACTCTGCTCCCTGGCAGAAGCTTTGCGTTTCCGTGGTCCTGACTTGATCGACTTCGCTGCCAGCGTGATCCGTATCATCGGTTCTGTGTTATCTTCGCCACTCATCGAAGCCCTAAGCTTACTGGCCTTTTTGTGCCGTATGCCGCAAGCATTGCAAAGGGACTGAACCCGAACCGCCAGCAAGTTCCGCCAAAACAAACAGACACAAGGAAGAAGCATGAGGAGGTGGGAGCAGACCAGCAGCCGATCAACAGCAATAACAGAAAAGCGACACATCTCAAGACAGGGTGTCAGGTGCAAGAGAGAAGAGAGCAGAGGACCACACAAAGAGCTCCGAAGTGGGGGGAGGACAAACTAGAACATCAAAGGCACAGCATTGTGACATCACGAGAAGTCCGAGGAAAAACGCTTCAGGTGCCGAGGACTGGAAAGCAGAGAGTCCAAGGCGTGGGGGGCGGAGGGAGAGGATAACAAGGAAGAGTGGGACAGGGGCAGAATGAGCGAACAAGGAAGAGGAGGACAGCGTCAAAAAAGGAATAAGAGATTGCCACTTGAAGAAAACCATGTTGCACGGGATAGAGAAGAGTAATCAGGCTCGCAACAGAACGATGACTGGCGGATAGGACAGCCAGCCAATTAAAAGGTTATCTCCCAAGATTTGGCATAGAAGAGATCCAGATGATTGACAAAAGCCGTGACGCAGAGGGAACGCGCAGATCACACAAAACGACAAACGGAGCAGTTCACCATTGTCAGAAGAAGCCCCATAAACTTCATAATAACGTACTGAGTCGTACTACTGACTGCTTGAATAATAAACCACCTTCCAAACACACATCCAAAATTTAAAAGTTCAAAAAAAAAAACAAAAAAAGGAAGAAGAAGAAGAAGAAAGAAAGAAAGAAAGAAAGAGACGGAAACGGAATTAACCGAAAACGAGGCCTCTTCAACCCATGCAACTGCTAGTTACAAGGCCAATCACCAGAAGGTACACTGAACTGAAAGATATCAATTACCATCGTATTCTTGTTTCCACCAATAATTCAGACAAGTAAGCTCAATCGAAACTCCAACCAGTGATATTCCCATCAACCAGCAAGGAAGCATCACCGAACAATCATTTCCTGTAAAGCAGTAGCAATGGACAGACCAGTAGGGCAAACAAGTCATCGCTGCCATGGCCAGGACCACTCCATACAAGTGGTTTAGCACAGAATCCCCTGCTGCAAATCCATTCAGTGAACATGGCCACCCCTGCAGACAAATGGGGGAAGCCGTCGGGACCTTAGGACACCAGATACTCCGTACCAGAGTTCGCAACTGGGATTTTTAGGAATACCTGTACCTGACCTAGCCACACCCTCTTTGAAAGCCCACCACCCATACCCACTGTATACCTGGCCTGCCGGACCTTTACCCATCTCCACCTGCTTAAAAAAAAACAAAGCTATACCCAGACCTACCCTACCTGAAACTCTTCCGCATGTAACTGGCCATACCTACCCATGGACATTTTTTTTCAAAACCACCCATGGCCACCTGAACCCAAACCGTTTGTTAACCACCCATACCCTACCCTACCCAAGTTTTCATTACCTGTACCCACCCATACCTACCCATAATTGTATGCACCCACCCGTAACCATTCGTGCTCGTCACCCACCCTCCCCTAACTGCTCATAACCGCCCCTAACTATTCCTAACTGCCCCTAAGTGTCCCTAACCGCCCCTAACTGTCCCTAACCGGCCCTAACCACCCCTAACTTTTTTTCTTTTTCTTTTTTAAACCGCACCTAACCGCCCCTAGTTGTCCTGAACCGCCTCCAACTGTCCCCAACCCCCTGGACGTCACAGGATTGACGTGGTAATTGTTATTATTATTAACATTATTATTTTATTTTATTGTTTTCGAGATGTGGCAGCTGCTGCAGGTACTGCCGCAACAGCAACAGTTTTTATGCTGCTATGGATGCATCTAGTGCGACAGCAGCCTATGCAACAACCTATATAGCATCTGCAAATGCAACAACCCTCGGCCTATCGCACACACATACACTCTCACACACACACACGAACCCACAACACACACACAAAAAAAAAAACAAAGTCATTCGGGACATCCGTTAAAATTGGAACGATACAGAGAAGATTAGCATGGCCCCTGCGCAAGGATGACATGCATAAATCGAGAAATGGTTCAATTTTTTTCCCGTTGTACCCCGCGCTCCCCATTTAAAAATTAAAAAAAAAAAAAAAAAAAAAAAAACAACAACAACAACAACAACCACAAATATTGCATACACAGGGTTACACACATTTGAACATAGTCTGAAAATTTGAAAAACAAAAAGTAAAACAATGAAGAGATATCAAATTCACCCTTGCGAGAAAAAAACGTTGCTTCATGGGAAAGCGAGAAATTTGGAATATGAGAAAAGCTTCACGCTTGCACAAAAATGCAAAGCCTGCAAGGCTACAAGACTCAGATCGGGTGTACCACGCTTACCCGACGGAAACCTCTACCCGTCCGTACCACCCCTTATTTTTATGGCCACCCATACCTGCCCATACCTGTCTATTTTTTTTTTCTGGCCGCCCATACCCATATATACATTTTTTCCCCCTACCCCTACCTGCCCCTACCCACCCATGATCTCCAAAAAGGGCACTTGTGCGTGCCAACTTTCCCTTCGGAAGGGGTACCCATACCCGGCCGTAACCTGGCGGTTACAGTTGGGTACGGCCGGGTACGGGCAACAGTTACCCGTTTGCACTCTCTGCTCCGTATGGAGCGCAAGTGGGTGAGGCAACCAGTTTGCTTGGATGAAGCTCAATCCCAGCTCGGCAAACTTATTTCCCCACGCCTTTGAAATCATGGGACGAGTTGTGTACCGACGGGCCTAGCTCAGTTGGTACACCCATGAACTATTGAAACATAGACCTCAGTTTGAATCCTGACTGACTCAGACGAGTAAGACCAGTTTGAATTTGTGGGCGCCGCTGGCGATTCGGCAAAGCTGGCGATTCGGCACGCAGCGCAGTGGCTCTAGGCCGAGCTGTACTGGTGGTTTAAGAACCTGGGATTTATGCAGAATGGATGCAGAAATGGGATCTACAGACATTATGGGGCCACATACATACATCATCGCCAAAGGCTCCAAAGCAAAGACGACAAAATTCTAAGTATACCATCCTGATCGTGTTCATGGTATAAAATTTAGCGCTGCCGTCGCTGCGGGTATAAAATTTAGTGCTGCCGTCGCTACGGGTATAAAATTTAGCGCTGCCGTCGCTGCGGATATAAAATTTAGCGCTGCCATCGCTGCGGGTATAAAATTCAGCACTGCCATGGCAGTGCTAAATATAGCACGCATGGTTAGTTAGAGTTGCTTGCCTCGGACACCATCCTCCCACCCCACTCACATGCCGCACCCTTTCCTCCTCGCCCCCCAGCCACCCCCAGCCACATTCTGATTCTGTTCATTGTATAAAATAAAAGCTGTGAGGATGGTGTGAAGAGTTTTTCCAGGCAAGCCGTTCAAACATAACTGGCCAACGGCTTGCCTGGAAAAACTCTTCACACCGTCCTCCCGGCACACACACAACAAAAATCACCCCCCACCCTCACCTACCAACCCCTCCGAGACCCCCACACACATCAAAGAAAAGAAAAGTCAAGCTACACCCTCAGTGCCCCTCCTCAGCAATGGCATGAGAAACCTGACCTTAGGTCCGCTTGGCCCACTTCGCCAAAGAGGTGTTTTCATCGTGCCGCATCCGACACAAGCTCGAGAAGCCGCGCCAGGCTTGCTCTCCTCAAATTCCCCCACCGTACTCTCATTGCTCGATCCACTCTGATTGCCATTAGACATCCGCCGCATTTCCAGTTCCCGGTCCCGCTGCAGTTCCAGTTCGTGGTCCTGCATTTCGCACCCAGCATCTGCCACTTCTCGTCTTGCACAGCCCTGGGCTTCTGCATCTGCCCTCCATTTGCTCCAGCTACCAAGCCTGCAACTGGGTCCCCTCTCACTCACTCGTTCGCTTGAGCTGCGGCTCTCCCCACCACATCTTCTGCTAGCAATGTCGACAAATGCACTGCCGCCGCCCTTTCCCGCTTTCCCTCCCACCCGTCCACTGCCCATCAGGCAGGGGGAATCCCTCCAACTCAATTGAACTCTACCCTTGACTGCGCACGCCACCACCGGCGGCACCTTCCCTTGAGCACCATCCACCGGAAGGGGTGCTCCAGCCACTGCCATCCCCCCCTTGTACCCTGCCTCGGACCCCTTCTGCACACTTACTCCGGCCCCAAAGCTTTCCATCCATGCAAACTGAGGCAAGCCCCTTGTCATCTCCGCATCAGCACCACTCCCACGCTCACACCTACCCACTCCCTCAGCCTCACGTGCTACATCGGCACCCAGTTTCATCCCTGCAGCAAATGGATGCGGATGACCATTCACTTTCACACCCCCATTCCCAACCCCTCTCATCACTGCCACTCTTGACATCTGCAGATGATCTTCTCCGAGCTTTGCCACACCGCTGCACTCTCCCTTGCTCCAAACACCTTCCACAGCCGTGCATTCCCCCGATTCCCCCAATCTGGCAACAGTGCCGCAATCTATTGATCTGGCCAACACTGAGGCATTAGACTCCAAGCCCAAAACTCTCTGCTGAGTAGGCTCTGCTGCAACTCTTTGAACAGCCACGTCAGCACCACTGTCAACCGCCCCCCCGCCATCAACATCATCCCCTAGCGTCCTTTCCTCTTTGACGTCACAGCCACCTTCAACGTTGCCAACCCTTTGCTTCACCTGGTGGGAAGCTCCACTCGCCAAGTCCCTTCCAGCTCCCCTATTCTCACTCGCCGCCGTGTCGCTTGCACTTTCAGATCCCGTGAGAATGCTGGTTGCACCTCTGGTCGCTAGTGCAGCACCTGCCTGCCCGCTCTGCCTCGCCTGTTGAGAAGCACAACTCTCCAAGTTCCTCCGCACTGCCCTCACCTCATACACCATCATTCCATTTCCCGATTCGTTTCCAGCCACAGTTCCAGTTCGGGTCCCAGGTCCACTTGCCGTTCCAGTCCCGGAACTAGTTCCGGTTCCAGTTTTGGTCCCAGAACTGATTCCGCTCGCAGTTCCAGTAAGCGTTCCGGTTCTAGAGCCGGTCCCGGTAGTCGCTCCGGTCCCGGCAATTGCCTGCGCACCCATTTCCCGAGTAGTTCTATTCAGTAGAACAAGTCTTTCGCCCAAGCCGGGGGCAGCTATAGTCTGCCGAGGACGTGAACCGGTCCTACGGGAGCTTGGCCCCTTCATCGGGTTACACAGCCCTCTCATCACGCCAGTCATAGACACTGCGCCTGCAGCAGGGTTCATCCCAACCTCCTTCCCTGTATTGCAGACCCCTTTGAGGACATGCGAGCGATCCTTGAAAGGGCTTCCGTACCCTTCGTACGTTCCCTCTGCTGCACCACAGCTTGGTGTAGCGTTTTCACTTTTCGAGACACTGCCATCACAGCTGACTTTCTTCTTGGAATCAGCATTCCCCCCCTCCTCTTCCTCTTCTTCTTCTTCTAGGTCACCATTGCATCGGTCTCGATCCCCAATGCCATGCATGCCAGCATGGCATACTGTCAGTCTCGAGTCTTCTGCGGTATCAATCTCCTTGTCCATACTTGTCACAACTCTGCTGCTTCCCCGTGGCAGGTTATCAGGGGCCTTCCCTTTACACTCCCCTTCAACCATCCAGACCATGAGCTTTCACTCCCTCCCAACCCCGCCACCAACGCCACCTATTGACAGAAACAGGTCCACAACCAATCGATGTTGATGACACACGAAAAAAAAACACCAATCACACCACAGTACCAGGCTCAATATTAAGAGCACAGACAAATGGCCGATAGCAGTAAGAGCCAGCGCACTGCCAGAGACACAAAGAGGACACTAAGACAAAGGAGGGAGAACATGTGACACCAAATAAGCTTAGAGAGAGGTGGTCTGATAATGAGATCAGCAGTGATACTACCACAGAGCGAGAGAGAATACGAAATGGAGAGAGAGAGAGAGAGAGAGAGAGAGAGAGAGAGAGAGAGAGAGAGAGAGAGAGAGAGAGAGAGAGAGAGAGAGAGAG